AGACCCTGTCTCAAAACAAAAACAAAAACAAAAACAAAGCAAACAAACAAAAAACCCAAAGAGAGAAAAAGAGAGGAGAGGTGGAAAGGTGGGCCAGTAGGTTTGGAAGTGTGAGGACAGAGGGACAGAGGTGGCAGCAGTAAGCCCGCACAGCGGCTGCGAGAGTGAGGCTTAGTTCCTCTCTGCACTTCTATTTATAGCCCACATCATTTTAATGCTGCCCAGTGGGCATCTGGCTGGTACAGACCACACCACCATGAGGCTGCGGGGTCGTCATGGCAACCACATGTTCATCACTTTGGGCTGAAGGATGAAGCCTGACATCCGTCTCCATGGAAACGGGCAGATCCACATGGTGGAGGGAGAGGTCTCCACGTGGATAAGGATTGTCTTTTCCTCCCTCCCTCTCTCTCTCCCTCCCTCTCTCCCTCCCTCCATCTCTTCCTTCCACGCGTGTGTGTTTGTGGTGCACATGTGCGTGTGAGCGTACACTCCCCTGTGTGCACACACTTGTGGAGGCCAGAGGTTAACATTGGGTATTTTCCTCAATCACTCTCCACCTTATTTTTCAATTAAAAAGTATTATTTATCAAAAAAAACCCCAAAAATTATGAGACCAAGCGGTGGTGGCGCTCGCCTTTAATCCCAGCACTCAGGAGGCAGAGGCAGGGGGATCTCTGTGAGTTCGAGGCCAGCCTGGTCTCCAGAGCGAGTTCCAGGCCAGGCTCCAAAGCCACAGAGAAACCTTGTCTCAAAAAAGCAAAAACAAAAGATGTTCATGCGGAGATTGTCTTGAATCATTTAGGGTAGGGGTGACATTTCATCACAGTAACAGCTTGACTCTCTCATCCACCACAGCCTGACGAGGCCACTCTCCACAAAGGGACCTCCAATCTGGCCAAACTGGGATTCATCTTCAGCGAAGAAATGAATTTCAGAGTCAGCAGCCATGAAGCAAAGATGGTGTTTTTGAAAGACAGAATAGTTGTGGTGGTGTGCAACCATAGGCCATGATGAAGAGAAGACAGAGAGACCACCGAGAGTTGGAAGCCATGCAGAGCTACACCATTTCCTTTGGGAATGGAGAGACGGTTCAGTGGTGAAGAGCCTACTGTTCTTGCAGAGGACCTGGCTTTGGTTCCCAGCCCTCAGGTAGCTCACAACGCCTGTAATTCAAGTTCCAGGGGACCTGACACCCTTTTCTGGCCTTCCTCTCCCAAGTTTATAAGGCCCAGTGGTGTGAGGACCTTTCTGTTGGCAGTTGGCTTGGAAGCACTAAGAAGGTGACCATACTGATCCCTCACAGGAGATGATGGTGTTGGAGTAGCTGTGTGTGTGTGTGTGTGTGTGTGTGTGTGTGTGTGTGGGTGAGAGAGAGAGAGAGAGGGGGAGGGGGGGGGGGTGCTGTTTCTGAGGCTGAATCAACAGGATTTCCTGCAGGATGGGATGTGGAATGTGAGGTCAGGAATCCCCTCAAAGATTCCAGGCTGAGGGTCAGGAAAGACTGTGATTCCTCTGTAGTTCAGGAAAGTAGGCCCCGCCCTGCCCTGGCTGTGCGGCTGGCAGAGGGAGCGCCCTACCTGTGTGTGCTATGTCAATTCTGGTGGCTGTTGCAGCCAATTTGGGGATTGCATCTTGGGTGGGAACCCTTGGCTGACCCTGGTTAACCTTGACAAGGCTCCTGACAGGTGTCAGGCCTGAGGCCAACCTTATCTCATGCCTCACATTCACCCTCTGGGCTGGGCCTGATTCTCTCTCTTCCCAAGGCCCAAAGGAAAGTAGTCTTTTTCTGTCTTCACCTTAGATTTGCTTTCAGCCATGTCAAAGCACTTCCGGACCTTTCTATCAGGCCTACTCTTTCGTTCTTCTTCTGAAGGATGGAGCCTGGCTTCTACATTGTAGAAATGAACCTTATCCCCAGCCCTTCACTAGTGGATCCTACACATTTGCACCCCTGCCTCAAGAGTGGAGGTGGGCTGGGCGTTGGTGGTGCAGGCCTTTAATCCCAGCACTCGGGAGGCAGAGGCAGGAGGATCTCTGTGAGTTCGAGACCAGCCCGGTCTCCAGAGCGATTGCCAGGACAGGCTCCAAAGTTACACAGAGAAACCCTGTCTCAAAAAACAAAAAACAAAAACGAAAGAAAAAAGAAAAAAGAAAAAAGGAAAGAAAGAAAGGAACTGGCGAGATGACTCAGGGGTTAAGAGCACTGGCTGCTCTTCCAGAGGACCCAATTGCCAATACCTGCGTGGCAGCTCAGCAACTCCAGTTGCGGGGAATTTGACACCCTCACACAGATACACATGCAGGCAAAACCCCAATGCACATAAAATAAAAATTATTAAAAATATTTTGTTTGCTTGTTTATTTTCAAGACAGGGTTTCTCTGTAACTCTGGCTGCCCTAGAATTCACTCTGTAGACCCAGGCTGGCCTTGAATGCACTTGCCTCTGTCTCCTGAGTGCTGGGATTGAAGGTGTGCACCCATCACCCAGCAAGATTTTATTTTTAATGTATGTGTATTTTCAGGTACTAGCCTCCTGCCATGCCATGCAAGCACCACTTTCTCCTGGTTACGAAGGTTGAAACTTAATTTCTTCTTCTTTATGTTTTTTTTCAAGACAGGGTTTCTCTGTGGCTTTGGAGGCTGTCCTGGAACTAGCTCTTGTAGACTAGGCTGGTCTCGAACTCACAGAGATCTGTTTGCCTCTGACTCCTGAGTGCTGGGATTAAAGGCTTATGCCACCCACCTCCCCACAGTGAATCTTAATTTCTGGTTGGGCAATCTGTCTCGTAATTAGCCTTAAAATGACAGTGCCTTTCCTTGAGACTTAGTATTCCCACAGGTCTGTTCCTTGGATTTCTATAACAGTCTCCAGAAACATGTGACTCTGACCTCAGGAACTTACCACCTCCCTATCCAAGAGGCTACAAGTCCAAAATCCACAGGGTCATTCAGCAACCACTCCAAAGAAATCCTGTGAGGCAGAGGTGGTGGGTTGGGCTGGTTATCCCAGCACTCAGAAAGCTGAGGCAGGAGATGAATTTGAGGCCAGCATGGGCTACACCATGAAACCCCATCTCAGAACAAACTTGTATAAACTTGGTGCCGCAGGCCTAGAATCTGCATTTGAGAAGTCAGGTGTAAGAATCACAAAGTCAAGGTCAGTCACTCACGGCTACCAAGTGAGTTGAAGGCCAGCCTGGGTATTTAGTGAGACTTGTTTCTAAAGGCAAAAATAAAAAGAAGGAAAATAAAAGGGCTGGGTATATATGAGAGGGTTGGGTATATAGCTTAGTTTAGGGCATCTGCCTGAAATCCCCCAGTGAGGGCTGGGAGATTCTTTGAAGCTCACTTATTAGAAGGTATTATCTGTCAGTGGTAGAGCCTTTACTCAGCCCACACAGGGCTGTGTTCAACCCCTATTACTGAAACCAGAAAATAACCCTGTGCATTAACCAGTGTTCTCCTTCTCTTCCCCAGCCTGAGACACCGCTAAGCAGCTCTCTGTGTTAATGGACTTTTCTGTTCTGGACATTAGAGCATTTCATATATTTGGAGCAGGCACTACATAGTTGTTTTTTTTTTTTTTTGTTTTTATTCTATGTATGGAGGCAAGGTCTCATGTAAGCTCAGGATGCCCTGGATCTTCTGATACTTCTGCCTCCACACCCAGCTCCTCTTGGTGGTCTTTTGTGTCGTTCTCCCCTGTCGTCAGGTGCCCTGTCCATGCTGTGGTGTGTGCCAAAGCCTCATTTTTATGGCCGGATGATTTCTGCCTGTGTGGATTGATCGATGCTTTCCTTCATTGGTGGACTAGCATCTGGGTTGGCTCTGCCTTTTGGCTTCTGTGAACAAGGCTGCCATGGACACAGGTACACAAGAGTGTGGACAGAAGTTTTTATTTCTTTGGGGTGAATCAATAGGAACAGCCTTGCTGAGTCACAGGGTGTGTGTTTACCTCCGTAAGAAGCTGCTTGGCTGCTTTCCAGCCTGGCTGCTCATTTTTGCACACCCACCTTTGAGGAGACTGGAGGGGGATGAGATGCTCGCCCGAGTGAGGTTAATGGGCTTGCTGTTGTGTGTGTGTGTGTGATATGTATATGTATGTGCCTATTTGCTCATGTGGAGGTCAGAGGTCAGCTTTCAGAGTCAGTTCTCTCCTTCCACCTTGTTGAGGCAGGGTTTGTTTTGTTTCTGTGTATGTGCTCTGGGCCAGCTGGACCGTGAGCTTCCTGGAGCTTCTGTCTGTCTGTCTCTGGCTCCTACCTTGCCATAGGATTACAGATGCAGACCCACAGCGACAGAGCTCCCCCATGCCCCAGGGATCCAAGGCAAGCTTGCTTAGGAAATGAACTTTTACTGGCGGGGCCATTAGGGGCCCTTCCTTATAATTTTTTTTTTTTTTTTTTTTTTTTTTTGGTTTTTCGAGACACGGTTTCCCTGTGTAGCTTTGGAGCCTATCCTGGCACTCGTTCTGGAGACCAGGCTGGCCTGGAACTCACAGAAATCCTCCTGCCTTTGCCTCCCGAGGACTGGGATTAAAGGTGTGCGCCACTAATGTCCGGCCCTTATAATCTTGTAAGCACAAATTGCCCAGAAGCTGGGTGTGGAGAGACACTGCAATCCCTGACCTTGGGGGCCGAAGGCTCCACAATAACCCTGGGGCTGAGCGGGACCTCATACCTGGGATGGAGAGGCAGGTGAATGCCATGCCAGGGGCAGCTACATAACAAGGGCATCTCTCAAAACAAAACAAAATCCAGGGGCTGGGTATATAGCTTGGAACTGCTTGCAGATTCTCGGTGCTGTTAGGTCCAAGAACTGAATAGGAATTTGGAACAAGGGTTTCATGTCCATACCAGCTACCCCTCAGTCTTGGGCCCTTTGTGGGCAGAAGCATGTCTGAAGTATTCTTAGGTCTCTCTGCTTTTCTTAGACCAAGGAGATGTGTTGTTGACCGACTCACTGAAGACCAAGGGCAGGGAAGACAGACAAGGGCTCAGACACAGCCGGGCCAGGCAGGACCACAGATTTATTGGGGGCTGCACACACGCACACTCACAGCATCACACGACAATGGCACAGTTACTCGGGACATCAAGGTGGCCTCTGCCATCAGAGTAGGGCCCAGAGGCAGTGGGTTGCAGCCTCCTCCCATGCAGCCTGGACCCTACTGGGTCCTTCCTCTGGGGCAGCTGAGAAAGGGAGGGGGCTGCTGGGGTGGGCCTCGGGCCTGGCGGAGACGGGGTGAACAGGCAGGTTGGTCCAGCAGGCCAGGCTGGGCAGAGGCCACCTCACTCTAGGGACTGTAGCATCAGCAGCTGCTTTAGCACCTTCGTCTGGCTGGTCTCTCGGATCTCACCTGCCAGGAACATCTCATCTACCACCGTGTAAACCTAGGCAAGGAAGGGAGGCCGGGAAAGTTGGAGTGAGGGAGGGAAGGGCTGGCTGATGTAGAAGCCAGCCCTTGGGAGCTAAGCTGGGAAACAGATCTCTAGAGGCTATAACCCCCCCATGGCTGCCTCTTGCCCACTTCCCCAAGAGCCTACCTTGTAGAAGTTGAACACCAGGTCCAGTTCACAGACATTGTGGAAATACTCATTTAACACCTGAGAGAGGGAGATGAAGACCAGTGATGAGAGACAGGCACAGATAGGCTGGCAAGATGGCTAACACGGTGAGTAACAGTGCTTGCTGTGCAAACTGAGTTCAAACCCTGTATCCAATGGTAGGAGGAGAGAACCAACTCCCAAAGCTGTTCTCTGACTTCCGTGTGGGAGCCGGGGCACATGGGTGCCTACATACGTATATATACCACAGACATCATACACACAAGATAACAATACATCAAATATGAAATAAGACAGGCAGGGAGGCCCTGGAATGTAGCCCAGTGTTTGTTTAGCATTCATGAAGCCCTGGGTTTCATCTCCAGCACTTCATAAATCCCTCCATGAAGACCACATCTGTGATCCTAGCAAGTGGGAGGCAGAGGAGGAGGATCAAGAATCTAAGGTCGGGGGCTGGAGAGATGGCTCAGTGGTTGAGAGCACTGGCTACTCTTCCAGAGGTCCTGAGTTCAATTCCCAGCAACCACATGATGGCTCACAGAATTTAAGGTCACCTCTAGCTATATAGCAAGTTTGAGACCAGCTAGGGCTATATGAGACCCTGTCTCAAAAAGAAAAAGAGAGAGAGAGAGAGAGAGAGAGGTGTGTGCAATAGGAGAGACAGCTAGTGGTTAATAAGAGCACAGGTTGGTCTTTTTAGAGGGCTCAAGTTGGGTTCCCAGCACCCACATCAAGTGGCTCACACCACCTATAACTCCAACACCAGGGGGTCCAGTGCTTTCTGAGTCCTTGGGCACTTGCACACATGTCATACTTGTACACACACATACACACACACACACACACACACACACACACTCACACACACACACAATGAAATAAAGTAGCATTTTCCTATTTGATAATGAAATTTGCTGATTTTTGTGTTTATCAGCTCAATGAATAAAAACTGCAGTGGATAGAGGAAGACAGCTGTGTTGCCTGTCATCAAGCACCGGGGAAACTAGATCATGAGTTCTGGGCTATCCTGAGCTGCATAGCAAGACACTGTCTCACACACACACACACACACACACACACACACACACACACACGTATCTACCGGCTCACTTGCACACACCGTGACTCAGGGCAAAGGCAAAGCTGGTGGCGGGTGGGCAGTGAGGGGACAAGCTGGCTGCCGTAGATGAGAGAGGTGAGGAGGAAGAGGCGGATTGGAAGGAGAGACCCATGCACACAGAGGGAGGCCGAGGAGGGGCCCAGCGGCCGCCCCAGCGCTCCAGGGCCTCCTAGGCCCGCACGGGACTGACTCACTTCCACGAAGTTATGGATGGCCTCGAGGTAGGCCAGATTGTTGTCATTGACGTCCACACAGATGCAGAAGTAGAGGCCCGCGTACCGTCGGTAGATGATCTTGAAGTTCCGGAACTGTGGGCAGAAAGCAGTCAGGACTGAGCCTGGCAGAGGGCCGGGTGCCAGCTGTCCTACTGTGTGGGACCACGAACACC